CTGAGATTACATGCATGAGCCACTGTGCCTGACTTTTTTCTGAGTTTTAAGGAATAAGTTTTTTTTTTTTTTTTGAGTTGTCTCACCCCGTCACCCAGGCTGGAGTGCAGTGGCACACTCAAGGCCGCCCCAGCGTTGACCTGCTGGGCTCAGGTGATCCTTCCACCTCAGCCTTCCAAGTAGCCAGAACTACAAGTGTGTGCTACCACACCCGGCTAATTTTTTTGATTTATTGTAGGGGTGATGTCTTGCCCATTTGCCCAGGCTGTTCTCCAACCATAGGCTCAGGCAATCCTTTCACCTCAGCCTCCCAAAGTGCTAGGGTTACAGGCTTGAGCTACCACGCCCGGTCAGGAATAAGTATTTTATCTCTCAGAGAGAACATGCCTATCCTGTTCTCTGAAGGCTTTTTAGTTTTCCACCACCTGGATATCAGATCACTGGTTCTCCCTTTCCTGCTATCTGCTAACATGTTGAGCGGCAGGAGTTACTACATGTGATATGGTTTACTGACTGAGGAATGTAGAAGGTCACATATATCTTTCCTCAGTTGTATTCAGGCCTGACGTATTTTTACAGAAGGTTCTTTGGGGGGCTCAGTAGCTCTTTGGTTTCAGCATAAACTCACTCTTTCCCTAGGAGATAGACAGTGGGGATTTATTTGGCCTGTTTTTATGATGCCAGGGTGAGATCTAAAATTTATTTACTCAAGATTATACATGGCAAGTTAATTACAAAATCAGTATACTGTTTAAATGTCTTTGGCATTGTTTTCTTTTTTTTTTTTTTGAGTTGGAGTCTCACTCTGTCACCCAGACTGGAGTGCAGTGGCCGCTCCCGGCCACCGCAACCTCGACCTGCTGGGCTCCGGCAATCCTCCCGCCTCAGCCTCCCAAGGCGCAGGATTACAGGCTGAGCCACCGAGCCCAGCTTGGCATTGTTTTCATATCCCTTAATTATGAAAAGTTTAAAACAAAACAAAACAAAAAGAGTAGGTATGGTGACTCACGCCTGTAATCCCAGCACTTTGGGAGGTGGAGGTGAGAGAATTGCCTGAGTCCAAGAGACCAGCCTGGGCAACTTGGCGAGACCTCCTTTCTACAATAAATAAATAAATAAGCTGGGCATAGTGGCATGCGCCTGTAGTTCCAGTCACTTGGAAGGCTAAGTTGGAAGGATCACCTGAGCCCAGCAGGTTGAGGCTGCGATGACCGTGAGAGTGCCCAGCCTGGGTGACAGAGTGAGACTCCTACTAAAAAAAAAAAAGGAAAAGATAGTTTTTACTCAGAGGTTTCCTGGCGAATCAAACTTGAGAAAATCTGCTGTAAATTAAAAATGTCTGCTTTGCTCTTATATCCTATTGTTTCTCTATTTGGCAGCCAAAATACTCACCATTCTCTGCTTTTTTTCCCATTGGGTTCTTTGCTTTTTGCTTTTTTGAGTAGGAGTCTCACTCTGTCACTCAGACTAGAGTGAAGTAGCATGCTCATGACCATTGCAGCCTTGACCTGCTGGGTTCAGGCAATCCTTCCACCTCAGCCTTCCAAGTAGTTGGAACCACAGGTGCCACCATACCTGGTTAATTTTTTTTATTTACTGTAGAGACAAGTTCTCGCTAAGTTGCCCAGGCTGATCTCGAATCCCTGGACTCAGGGCATTCTCTCGCCTCAGCCTCCCAAAGTGCTCAGATTACAGGTGTGAGCCACCATGCCTAGCTGGGTTCTTTGCTTTTGACTGTCTGTCACTCTTCTTTCCTCTCCTATGGCAGCAACCTCTGGCTCGAAATTCCCATCGCTGTGAAGCAGAGTGGGGTTTCAGAGCCAGGAGAGGGACATTTATGGAATTCAAAGTCTCTAAGTATGTATTTTCTTTATCTCAGTTCTCCTTTTCTCAAGTATTAGTGCCTGTTGATAATAGGGAGTTGTGTATTAGTGATAATCAGGTGATGAATAATTTAGAAAAAAATCTGTTTCATAGCATTAGAAGAACAACTGAGAAGTGGTTTGAATTAAACAACCATTTTTGTCCTTTTCTTCATTGAATTCACGTTTCTTTTTCTGAAAGTCTTCACCAAAATATTAGTGTTGCTCTCATTCTTTCCTCTGTATCCCTTCACAGAATTATTATTAGTCTGCAAACTAAGCTGCTCTCCCCTCCTTTTTTTTTTTTTTTAACTTGTTAGGGATTAATTTTTTTTCCCCCACCTATACTTTAAGTTGAAAGGGTCTTTTAGTTGCTTCAAGTCTCTGGATTCCATTTCTGTATCTAGTAATCCAAAGAAGAGAAAGTGTATAGTACCTTTAAAATGCTTCCCCTCCCCCCTTTCCTGTTATTTTTCCCCTCAAGTAATTTTAATTAACTGTTCAGTGACAGATGGTAGAAAAGGCCTCGTCCAGAGTGCTGCTGGTAGGCTGGATTAGGGGAGGGTGGTTTGCACTGATCCTGTTGTAGAGGTAGCGAGCCTTCCCCTCCCCCCTCCAGTTGAACTGTAATCTTGTTAGATGATCTTAAAATGCTATTGATTAATTCACCGTGCCCTTAGAGGAATAAGCATAAATTTTGGATTTAAAGCCCAAGAGTGAATTCCCTCGCGCTCTGGACGCCTTAGCCTCGAGGCCAAGGGAGATACCTTCCAACTTCTCCACCCAGTCTTCCCTGAAAAGGAAAGTTAAGCCTTTTAACTTTTCCATTTGCCTCCCCCCTTCGTGTAGTACGGCTGCCAGTTGCCATGGCAACGGACTGGGACAGCTGCGCAGTGGCGCCCAGGCAGCTGGGTGGGGGCGGGGGAGCTGCCAGCCCGCCAAGCCCCAGACCTGGGAGGGGAGGCCCCTCCTGTTAGCCCAGAGGGAAAGAAAGAACTGGGGCGATCCGGTAGGTAAAGAAGGGAACCCCATTCACCTTCACCCTTTGGGGTTCCTCTTATGCATGAAGGTATTTCATGAAGGAGATTTTCCTTTTCCGTCCCTCAAACTGAAGAACACATGTAAATCCTTGTTTTTCCTGGTGAGGCAGGGGAGGCCATAGCCACAATGCTTAACTGCGTGCATCCAACATGGGGCTGGTTTTAACCCCAGCGCTCTGACCTAAACTGCTCAGCTCCCGGAAATTCCAAGGTGAGTGGGGGTGGGGTGGGGTACTCTCCCTGGAATATGACATTTCCTGTCTCTGGTGAGGTCGGAGGCAGTTTTTATGTTAAATAAACCAAATCAGCTATATTTTCTTGACGCTTAGGACTCTTCTAAATTCATGGGGAAATTATTTTTAAAAACCCTACCTTCATTCTCCCATTGTCCCCTCTTCCAAATAAAGTATTTAATGAAGACATACTTTTATTATAGGTCAGTAATGGTTATAGGCAGTTTTTTAGGTGGACAGACCTACTGCTAGTAAGTTCTGGAGATACGGTTTCCAACTATATATTGTAATAATTTTTACAGTTCCCAATTATACATCGTAATTTTAAAATTTTGCTAATTTGAAGTGAACTGATAAATGCAACTTTTTAATGTGACTTAAACATAATTCTGAGATTAGTGGTGGCCTTCCCTTTTCCTAGGAGCAGTTTTCTGATCAGGATGGAAATATTTAGAGAGTACTGAAGAACATCTTTAAAAAGTACAGAAATTTAAAAATGGAGTTCAGCTAAGAAAACAATTCCTGCTACTCTGTAATCCAGACTGTAGGCACCATTTAACATGGTTAAGGAAGAATTCTTAAAAATGATTATGGTAACAACAATATGGGACTTTTAAAAAACGAGATTCTCAGTTGAGTATCCCCTGGTGTGCATATTTCTGAGCTTAACTCAATTTCCATTTGTGTTGCCTTGCTTCAGCTTTCCTTGGGCCCATGAATGGCTCCTCTGTGTTTTGAGGAGGCTTCATGTTGATGCTGAGTCTGGAGCCAGATTTCTTCCTCCTCCTCTTCCTTTGGCCTAGAGTCAACTTCATTTAAGAGGAGAGGTACCTCCTTGACTATGTGGGTTAGTTGCGCCTTGGGAATTACTGAAAAATCCAATGACTAATTTTGAATTTTAGGACTAAAAATTTTTTCTCCTCTTTGCCTCCCTCCCCTCCCCAAATAAGCTGGCTAGAAAGGAGACTTAGTGTGCTTGAGGTGTCAGCTTTGCTTTTGTGAGCTGATGGATGCTCTAAGGGACAAGCCCGATCTGTTTAAGGGAAATGTACCGAGTCACTGAAAATGTGGTGAAAGATGCCTAGTAGGCCTGTTTTGTGCTGCTAAGAGATGGTCAAGATGCTCAGAACAGAGAAAATGATATTTTAGTGGCTTTTCTCATTTTTATAAAGAACCTTATTCACCTTGGAAGGAAAGATTTTAATTCTGTCTTGCTTCATTTAACTGAAGGTTTTCCACGTTTCTATTTGAATTCCTGGCTTATAAACAGTTACAAATATAGCCAGGAATAACATACTACACTACTTGTCTTTTGTAATCTGAAATTAGAGAAATTAGTCAATTGTGCCATATAATACTTTTGGTCTCTAGCCGTAGAAAAAGTTGTTGGGGACGTGAGGGTTGGCCAGTTTTTTGTTTTTTTTTTTTTGAGTTGGAGTCTCACTCTGTCGCCCAGACTGGAGTGCAGTGGCCTCTCCCAGTCACCGCAGCCTTGACCTGCTGGGCTCCGGCGATCCTTCCGCCTCAGCCTTCCGAGTAGCCAGAATTACAGGCATGCGCTACCACGCCCGGCTGAGTTTTTGATTTATTGTAGAGATGAGGTCTCACTGCCCAGGCGGGTCTCGAACCCGCGGGGCTCAGGCAATCCACTCACCTCAGCCTCCCAAAGGGGCGGGATTACAGGCTGAGCCACCGGAGCCCAGCTGGTTTTTTAATTAAATTCTTAGGACTCGTTTGTAGGTCTGTGGGACAACTCAAGACCCAAGAGTAGAGCACATGGCGACTGTGTTCTACCCCTTCATCCCATCAAGAGATAAAGTTTTTTCACTCCCGTGGATTCTAACCGTGTGTCCTTCCATTTGCAGGCACCCGGTAGCCTTAGTCCTTCAGGTGGGACAGTGTGCGACATGGGAAAGAAAACCAAGCGGACAGCTGACAGTTCTTCTTCAGAGGATGAGGAGGAGTACGTTGTGGAGAAGGTGCTAGACAGGCGCGTGGTTAAGGGGCAAGTGGAATATCTACTGAAGTGGAAAGGCTTTTCTGAGTAAGTGCCTTTTTTCAGGCTTCAGGATTCTTCAGGTGCAGACACCTTTGGTTCAGTTTGAACCACCACCGTCTTTGTCTTTGTCTTTCCCCTTCTTTCCTAAGGGTCAGAAGACACAGCAATAAACCAAATAAAGTCCCCTCTTTTGTGGAACCAATGTTCTGATGATACTGTTTTTGAGAGGCAGTGTAGCGAATTGGTTAGGAGCCATAGACTCAGAAGCAGAAGGCCTGGGCCTGAATTCTTGCTCTGCCACTTATGATACAAGCTGCATGGCCTTGGCTGATATCTTTAATCTTTTTTTTCTCCTTAGTAAAATAAGGAAAAGAAGTGGTACTCATCGTAGGGTTGTTGGGTGGATATACAGAGCCTGACATAAGCTCAGTGTAGGTATCTCTAGTATTAATTTTAACTTTTTTTTTTTTTTTTGGAGACAGGGTCTGTCACCCAAGCTGTAGTGCAGTGGCACAGTCACATCTCACTGCAGCCTTAAACTCCTGGGCTCATGTGAGCCTCCTCCTTAGCTTCCCGAGCAGCTGGCACTACAGGCATGCACTCATGTCTGGCTTTCCTTTTTTTTTTTTTGAGACAGTCTTGATATGTTGCATAGGGTGGGCTCAAGCCACCTTCCTGCCTCGGTCTCCCCAAATGCTGGGATTACAGGCATGAGCCACCATGTTCAGCCTGTATTGTCACTATTTTTTTGGATATAGCCAAGCTAAAATGTATACATTTTAGCAAAATAATATAAAGGAAAGAGGTTGATCCCAGAGCCCCTAGTTCTCCAAAATTGGTTCTCAAGAGTGCCCCAGGATGAAACACCCATCTTAGAGACTTAAATCTGAAGCCTCATTTATTTTCCAACATTTTGTTTTATTTATTTTTTGAGTCGAGATCTTTTTGTCACTGAGGCTGGAGTACAGTTGTCCAATCACAACTCACTGAAGTCTCGATCTATACTCAGATGATCTTTCCAACTCAGCTTCCTGAGTAGCTGGGACTATAGGCATGTACCACCATTCTGGCTATTTTTCTTTTCTTTTTCCTTTTTTTTTTTGTAGAAGTGGGGTTTTTCTGTGTTGCCTAGGCTAGTCTTGAACTCCTAGGTTCAAGTAACTCTCCCGCCTCAGCTTCTCAAGATGCTAAGTTTACAGGCATGAGCCACTGCACCTGGCTTTTTTTTTTTTTTTTTTGAGTTGGAGTCTCACTTTGTCGCCCAGGCTGGAGTGCAGTGGCACACTCCAATGTCAACCTGCTGGGCTCCGGCAATTCTTCTGCCTCAGTCTTCTAAGTAACTGGAACTATAGGCGTGCACTACCACACCCTGATAATTTTTTATTTTTTGTAGAGACAAGGTCTCACTAGGTTTCCTGGGCTGGTCTCAAACCCACTGGGCAATCTGCTCACCTCAGCCTCCCAAAGTGGTGGGATTACAGGCTGAGCCACCGAGCCTGGCCTTAAACTTCAAACATAGAATTGAGGTGAAAAAATTTAGAGCAAACACTCAGGTACACACCATCTAGTTTCTATACTTAACATTTTAATATAATCTATCCATCTATCTCTTTAAATTGATGAACTTGAAGGATATACTGAGGTGTTGACTAGAGTCTGTTAGGCAGTAACTGGCTTTATGCTGAAATGCTAAAGTAGATTATTATTTCCTTTGGAATAAATGGTGCTAGACACATATTGAAGGATAGAGAGGTAGCTTGTAGAGGAAATACACGAGGCCATGTAATCATTAAGCATTCTGCCTCAATTTCTGATGAATTATCTTTCCAGGATTCCTGATAACAAAGAATAGATTCCTCAGAACCCCAGTGATAAATTGATAGGAACGGATTGAGGCTCCTTAGTGCAGTGCTGTCCAGTACAAATATAATGATGCAATATTACATTTTCTAGTGGCCACATTAAAGAAAAGTGAAATTAACTTTAATAATATATTTTATTTAATATGTCAAAAATACTGTTTCAACGTTGATCAATATAAAAATTGTTAATGAGATATTTTACTGTTTTTATGCTAAAACTTCAAAATTGAGGGTCTGTTTTACCTTTTATAGCACATCTCAGTTCATAGTAGCGACATTTCTTTTATTGTGTGTTAGAGTCTCATTCGCCCAGGCTAGAGGGCAGTGTCACACTCATGGCCACTGCAGCCTTGTCCTGCTGGGCTCAGGAGATCCTTCTGCCTCGGCATTCCAAGTAGCTGGAACTACAGGCGTGCACCACCATACCTGGCTAATTTTTTTATTTATTGTAGAGGCGGGGTCTCACCAAGTTGCCCAGACTGGTCTTGAACCCCTGGACTCAGGCATTCCTCTCACCTCAGCCTGCTAAAGTGCTGGGATTACGCCCGGCCCACATTAACCACATTTTTTTTTTTTTTTTGAGTTAGAGTCTCACTCTTTCCCCCAGACTGGAGTGCAGTGGTAAGTAGCCACATTTCAAGTGCTCATTAGCTATATGTGACTGGTGGTTACCATATTGGACAGCGCAGCTCTATGGTGTAGATCCTAAATATACTAAAATAGCCAATATTTTGCCAATACCTTTGGACAAAGGAGTAGGTCAGGAGCTTTCATAACACATGGAAAGTTATTGATATATGAATCAAGATTTCTCATCTCGAGTGCTACTACCTTTTTAAGGTGGAAGGTTCACGCATTGCAGAGGCTTAACAACTCTAGCACCCCGAGTGCTAAATGTGGGTAGCATAACAGTCAATGTGGGTTTTGAGTGCTAAATGTGGGTACCACAACAGAAATATGCCTGCCATATTTCTAGAGAAGTGATATCAGCTTCCACTAGAGATAAGAACCATTGAGTCTGAGAGACCCCTGAGGCGCTCTAAGTAGGAATTAAAGTAACACCTAAAGGTTTGGAGGGTATTTATTGGGCCCATTGAATCACCACTGGAAATACTTGGCTATTTGAAAGGTACTTGAAACTATCTGTCATTACTGGTACCTTATCATAAGTAAAAGGGTAAAGATAAGGTTTAGGGTAAACAAATTAAGTGTTTGTCCTTACCTTGTCAGAAATGCTCAGGATTTCATAAAAGACTGGAACAAATTTTGTGCACCTCACCATTTTCTACAACTAAGTACCTGCTATGTGCTAAGCAGTGTTTAGATCTACCTCTTGTGTTTTCTTTAATTCTCATAAAAGCATTTAGATGTATTTCCACTTTATAGATGAGGAAATTAGTGAGGTTATTTGCTGAAGATCACATAACTTGTAGCTGCTGGAACAAGGATCCAGTATCCAGTTTCTCTGGCCCTAAAACCCAGGCTTTTTCAAATTATCCCTTACTGACTTTTGGGTGAAGACTGGTTGGAGTAGAAGCAGCATTGCCAGAATGGAGGAAAGGGGACCATCTCAAGATAGGACTGACTTTTGCTGTCAGCAGAGACTCTCCCCAGCCCCCAAGTCTGCTTGGCTTGTGTTAAGAATGTTGGCACACCTCTTCGTTTTAGTGTCTTTTTCTCTGAGATAGAAACTATATGAACTATATTGTCTGTGGGTTTTGGGGAAAGTAACTGGATGAGGAATTTTTTTCTGCTGAGAGAAGGGATATAAAGGAGAGGCTTTTCAGTATTGGCTCCAATGATTTAGAAATACATTTTGTCTCATTCTTACATTCCATTTGTAGAAAGTCGTGTGAGTCTAGAGTAAATAGCTCAGATTTTTTCATCATTCTGTTTCCTTATTTGAATCAGGTTATTATGGCATGTTTTCAAGTCATCATTACCATCTAAAGAAAGATACCTCTGCTGGGCGCGCTGACTCAGCCTGTAATCTCAGCACTTTGGGAGGCCGATGTGAGAGGATTGCCTGAGTTCAGGGGTTTGAGATCAGCCTGGGCAGCTTGGTGAGACCTTGTCTCTACAAAAAATCAAAAAATAAGCTGGACGTGGTAGCGATAGTTCCAGCTACTTGGAAGGCTGAGGTGGAAGGCTCACCTGAGTCCAGCAGGGTGACAAAGTGAGACCCCAACTCAAAAAAAAAAAAAAAAGATCCTTTTTGTGTGTGTGTGTTTTTTAAGCCAGGATCTCACTTTTTCTCCCAGGCTGGAATGCAGTGGCACAATTATATCTCACCCTTCTGAGCTCAGGCAATCCTTCAACCTCAACCACCTGAGCAGCTGGGACTACAGGTATATGCCACCATGCCCAGCTTATTTTTTGACTCTTTGTAGAGATGAGGTCTCACTATGAAGCCTGGTTTCAAACTCCTAGATTCATTCAAGCAGTCCTCCTGCCTCAGCCTCCCAAAGTGCTGGGATTACAGGTGTAAGCTGCTGCATCCAGCCAAAATACTTTATTTTTAAAACAAAATAAATATCTTAAATGAGTAGTGCATAAACTTAAAAAAAATTTTCCCAAGTCAACTGAAGAGTGGTAGAAGCTGCTTCTGTATTTGTACATGTATCTTTTTTCTTTTTAAGATTATAGAATATAGTTTATTTAGAAAGAAAATTAGAGAGGGAGAGAAGATTCACCTCCCCAAGGTAAGGAAGGGGACTAAAGCTAAAGAAAATATGGCCAGGCCATAGCTCAAAAGAGCACATGGCCACACCATAGCTTAGCAAAGCAATGTATCTTAATATAAGTTAGTCCTTACCATATAGTCAGAAGAAGCTTTGTCCTTGGCTAAGGAGTGTGAAGAGGATCCCTGGTCAAGTTTTTCATGTATTTCTTGCTTTGATTCCTTAAACTTATGATGTGATTGTTGGTTTTGGTTTCCTAAGCTCCGTGCTGGGAATATAGAGAACAACTTTGAGAATATTGATTATTTATGTTTCTCGTTATAGGACTTTCCTAATCTAAGTTTAGTGAGACACAGTTACTCATATTTATTTATTTTATATTGGAGACAGGGTCTCGCTCTGTCGCTTAGGGTGGTGTGTAGTGGCATGATGATGGCTCACTGCAGTCTCGATCTCCTGGGATCAAGTGCTTGTCCTGATTCAGCCTCCTCAGTAGCTGGGACTATAGGTACATATTACCATGCCTGGCTAATTTTGTTTATTTATTTATTTATTAGAGGTGGGAGTCTCACTCTGTTCCCCAGGTTGGTCTCAAACTCTTGGCCTCAAGTGATCCTTTTCTACCTTGGTCTCCGAAATGCTGGAATTATTGACATGAACCATCACACCCAGCCTGGTTTTTTTTCTTTTGGATTCTTTTTTTTTTTTTGAGTTGGAGTCTCACTCTGTCGCCCAGACTGCAGTGCAGTGGCCGCTCCTGATCACCGCAGCCTCAACCTGGCTGGGCTCCAGCGATCCTTCCGCCTCAGCCTTCCAAGTAGCTGGAACTACAGGCGCATGCTACCACGCCCGGCTAATTTTTGACTTATTGTAGAGATGAGGTCTCTCCAAGTTGCCCAGACGGGTCTCGAACCCGCGGGCTCAGGCAATCCAGTACCTCAGCCTCCCAAAGTGTTGGGATTACAGGCTGAGCCACCGAGCCCGGCTCTTTTGGATTCTTTTAAGTCATTCTTATTCTGTCACCCAGGCTGGAGTGCAGTGGCATGCTCACAGTCACCACAGCCTCAACCCACTGGGCTTAGGCTATCCTTCCACCTCAGACTTCCAAGTAGCTGGTACTACAGGCATGTGCCACTGTGCCCAGCTAATTTTTTTGATTTGTTGTAGAGATGAGGTTTTGCCAAGTTGCCCAGGCTGGTCTCAAACCCTTGAGCTCAGGCAGTCCTCTCGCTTCCACCTCCCAAAGTGCTGGAATTATAGGCGTGAGCCACCGTGCCTGGCCTGTTTATTAAAATAAAAATTGGGCACGGTGGCTCATGCCTGTAATCCCAGTGACTCGGGAGGCTGAGGTAGGAGGATCACTTCATATATTGTATTGTATAATAAATATATGCTGATGACCTAGTGACAGTAGACTTGAGTTCAGAGCACTTGAATTAATGCATTCTAAATCCCGCTTCTGAGTTTTCTTCTTCTAGTTTTCCATTATTATAATAATGTTAGCCCATTTGCCCTTTTCTAAATAACTATTTCCAATCTGGTAATATTTGTTGACATTTTTTGAAAACATGAGCAACATATTTAAGATAGTATCAACTGGGGGTTATGATTTATTAGGCTGTCCACTCTTCAGGAGTGTCACAGAGGATTATATCTATGAAATCATGCTATTTTGCAGCTTATAAGCTAGAATTCAAATTTAGGTTTTTAAATAGCTTTTTTAAGGTATAATTTGGATACCATAAAATTGAAAATGTATATTTCAGTGACTTTTTTAGTAAATTTATAGAATTGTGTCTTCATTCCTACATTCCCAAAATTCTCTTGAGCCCATTTGTAGTTTATTCCAACTTCCACCTAGCCCCAGGCAGCCACTGATCTGCTTTCTGTCTCACTAAAATTTGTCTTTCCTATACATTTCTTATAAATGGAATCTCTTGTGTCTGGTTTCTTTCACTTAGTATAATGTTGTTGAGATTCTTCCAAGTTGTAGCATACATTAGTATTTTGTTTCTTTTTGTTGAATAGTATTCCATTGTATGGATATACCACATTTTGTTTATAGGTTCACCAGTTGATGCATATTGAATTTGTTTTCTGGTTTTAGCTATTAATATGCTGTAGGGCCGGGTGCAGAGAGGCCTCAGCAGGGGGATTGCTTGAGGCCAGGAGGAGTTCATGACTAGCCTGGCAACTTAGCGAGGGTACAAAAGATAAAAATAAATGCTGCTGTGAACCGTTGTGTATAAATCTTTGTATGAGCCAGTTTTAAAATTTTTCTTGGGTAGAAATCTCAGGTCAAATTTGTTATCTCCTTTAAGAATAAGGTTTTTATCCTTTCTGTCTAGATGTCTTCTTTAAAATGGGACATGAGATTTTTTTTCTCATTCTTTTCTTTTTTTCTCCATTCTTCTTGCCCAGGGAACACAATACTTGGGAACCTGAGAAAAACTTGGATTGCCCTGAGCTAATTTCTGAGTTTATGAAAAAGTATAAGAAGATGAAGGAGGGTGAAAATAACAAACCCAGGGAGAAGTCAGAAAGTAACAAAAGGAAATCCAATTTCTCAAACAGTGCTGATGATATCAAGTCCAAAAAAAAGAGAGAGGTAAGCTTCCTTTACCTTTTCCCCACAAAGTATTCTTTTGCCGTTAAATTAAAAAAAAAAAAAAAAAAAAAGCGCCGTGTTTTTATTATTCTCCATCTAAGAATGCACCTACATGGTAAATTGTTGAACAAAAGAGTTTCCAGGGAGTTGCGTAGATTAACTACAGCGCCCCCTCCTGGCTGAGTGAGGAGTGTAATTTGTGGTCACTGAATTTAACGTGGCAAAATTAAACCTTTGTAAAACATTAAACCACAAATTTAGTTATTGTAGGGAGAAGAGGTCTTTGGTGAGTTTTTTAATGATAGCAAAGGGCTTTTAAATGTTTGCTACTTCATTTCCATTTTTCTCCTGTTCCAGTAATAGCACTTATTTTCAACCCTTTATTTTTTTTTAATTGAAGTTAAATTCACATATGGTATAATTAATCATTTAAAAGCGTCCAGTTCAATGGCATTTATATTCTTTGATCCAATTCTACATACTTCAAATAAGAAATTAGTTTTCATATTTTGAATCTTTTTATTCAGTTTGAGAAATGTGTTTTTATGAAATTTTGGTTCAGTTCGGTTGCTTTAATCCTTCTGGTCTTTAGCTCTCAGGTAACTGGCATAAGCACTGATACTGCCTCTCTCGTTATTCATCTATATCTTTTCCATCTGCATGTGAATGCAAAAACACACATTCCACCCCCAGCTTCTGTTCCTTTCATTTATGTCAAGGTTATGGAGACTTTTGTGTTGAAGGATGTATCATGTACTTAAAGTTTAATAAAATAAAAGCATAAGTCCACTTCTGAATCTTCCAACATCACTGCCACAAACATCCCTGTTTATCTTCATTCTAGTTGGATATCCATCTTTCTAGAACATTGGTTCTCAGCCCTTACACATTAGCATCACCTTGGGGTTGGGTTCCTTAAAAAAAATATCAAGTGCCCAAGATGCACCCCAGACCAGTCTAATTAGAATTTCTATGGGTTGGACCCAGGCATCTGTTTTTAGAAAGGCTTATACAGGTAATTTCTGGGCTTCATGGGAAAGAAAAGAGGAAACCATCTTTGCAAAAAGAATTGAAATAGGAGTGCAAGATTGGAGGCTGCAAATAAACATGGCCCCTCTGTTTATGTCTGTCTCCTTATTTGTTTCCCTGATTAATTCTATTTTATATGAGCTTATATTTAAAAACTATCCTATCCTGGTGATGTCTGTATCTCATGATGATATACTTTATTAATAAACTAATAAAAGATCTGAAAATGCTTTTCCTTTTTGTTTTTTTGAGTCAGAGTCTGACTCTGACTGTTGTCCAGGCTGGAATGCAACAACCACCACAGCCTTGAACCGCTGGGCTCAGGCGATTCTTCTGCTTCAGCCTTTCAAGGAGCTGGAATCACAGACACACACCACCACACCCGGCTTATTTTTTTATTTGTTGTAGAGACGAGATCTTGTCAGTTCGCCCAGGCTAGTCATGAACCCCTGGACTCAGGCAATCCTCTCGCCTCTGCCTCCCAGAATGCTGAGATTATAGGCTGTACCACCACACCTGACTGCTTTCCCTTCTTAAAGAAGCTGGGACTTGGTTTTATTTTTCCTTTTTTATTAGTCTTTTGTATGCTGGCTTTTGTCATTTGATACATTTTCTAACCAAGTGAACAGAACAAAAACAAAGCCGCATAAGACTTCTTACTAGCCATTTGTGACAGAAAGTGTGTATTTCTACAATCTGGGGTTTCTGCCCTTTTAAAAAGGAGCATTCTGAATAATCTGGCTTAGAGCCACTGGCCAGTGCAGAGAGTTGTGATCCTAGGCCAGGTTCTGAGCTGCCGTCCTTGAAAACAACCCCCACACGTCCCTTACAGTGTTCATCTGGGGCCCCTGATAGCATTCTCAGCAGTACTGGCTGCCGTCAGGTAGGCAGCTGGGAAGATAGGTGATTGTCTGTTCTAAAGGTACAGGAGGGGATTGTGTTTCTTTCTTTAGATCACTGTTGAAGAAATTTGTTAGTCGGCATTATGCCTGATTTAAGATTACTGCCTGTGTGATGATGATTTTAGAATTTTCCTCGCCTCGACTCCTTTTCAGCAGCTTGAACATTTTTCTTCCATTCATCCCCCCTCCCTTCCCCATATAGCAAACTGTTTTCAGCCGCCAGCTATGATTTACAACTCAGTACATGTGCCAGCGTTCCAGCTGTGAGCAGCTGTGTGCACATCTGGGAACTTCTTTCCCTTAAGCACCCCCAAAAGAGGCCATGATTTTAAAAGTCAGTGTCTCCCCTTGATCCATGCATGGAATTTCCTTTCTATTGTGGGTTTTGATATCTTTGGGGGCCACCTGGACCCTGAATGCTTTGTATCTCTCAGGGAAAGCAAGGTGAATAGCAGATCAAAGAGATTTCATTATGAAAATCAGACACCAGAGATTTCATTCATTTGGGTAGTCTCTAAATCTTTTGTTGTGTTGCCACTAGAGAAGCCTGTATTATCTTCCATAGTAAAGTTTTTTAAAATTACCTAGTTTGTATAAAATTTTACGTTTTTGTTCTTACCAGTTTCATTACCAGAATCAGACCTTGTACTCCTTGTCTAGATTGTATGATTGCCTTTAGACCAGGTTTCAATACTCATGAGCTGCCAGTTGGGGTTTTTTTAATCACAGTCCTGTTCTGCCTTCTAATGCTAACAGCTTATCCACATCCAGAGGAGATGGGTACGGACCAGAGCCTCCTCCCCAGCCAACTGCACAGACATTGGTGTTGGGGATCTCTGAAATTTGCTTTTTAACTTGGTCTTTTATGATCTTACCTCTGTTCTTTCATACATGTAGATGACTATGAAGTGTATTAAAATTGCTGGTTAGTGTTAGGGTCTAACCAGTAAGTCTAAAAAAGATGAAGATTGAGAGAGATGGTATATGTGAAGTTTATAAAACAAAAGAAGGATTAGTTAGGGTAAACATGGACTTCTTTATCATTTCAGAAGCTTATTTTTAATATTAAAGAGATTCAGGGTGAGTGGGATTAAAGGAATTCCTTGGTGGTGACTCCAGAATATTACAGGGTATTAAAGAGTTTTAGGGTTCACTTCCAATCTTTTGAAGGAATTCCAGAAGGAGCAACCTTGCAAAAATATCTCTCAGAATCACTGTCACTAACTGACCTAGTATTGTGTTATTTACTTTTTATTTTTTTATTTTTTGAGTTGGAGTCTCACTCTGTCACCCAGGCTAGAGTGCAATGGCATGCTCACAGTCACCGCAGCTCAGGCAATCAAGCTTGGCCTTCTGCACCACTGCGCCACCTTGCCTGGCTAATTTTTTTATTTATTGTAGAGATGAGGTCTCACCAAGTTGCCCAGGCTGGATTCAAACCCCTGGACTCAGGCAATCCTCTCGCCTTGGCCTCCCAGAGTGCTGGGATTACAGGCTTGAGCTATCGTGCCTGGCATATGTTATATTTCTTAAGTTCAAAGAATTTTTCTGAAGTGGTGACAGAAATGGTATCAGGTGATATTAACTTATATTGTGCTTTGTTGAGCCTAGAAACAGGACTTTCTTTACTCTTTCTACAAGCTGTAACCTGTCTTCATCTTCTATTTATAGCAGAGCAATGATATCGCTCGGGGCTTTGAGAGAGGACTGGAACCAGAAAAGATCATTGGGGCAACAGATTCCTGTGGTGATTTAATGTTCTTAATGAAATGGTGAGCAAGATTGGGCCTCACTTTACAATTGTGTCTCTTAGCCAGTGACTTGAATTGTATGGAAGATAGGGTAGCAAGACTTGAGAATTTCAAAACTAAGAATTTTGAAATCAAAGGTCCTTAACTGATACCAATTATCGATATTAAATGGGAATTATCGTTTAGAATGGATTTAAGACATTTCAAGCTTTGAAACTAAACCACATTATAGTAGCCCATATGTCAGAAAAAAGGTAACGAACATATAAACATGACCCTAACCATTTTTGACTGTAAGGCTGTGACCGGAAGGTTCAAGTTTTTGACTGTAAGGCTGTGACAGGAATTGAGTGAGACTTTCTGCCGTCATTGAGGGCCAAGACCACTGAGTAATGTCAAAAAGGGACAGATCATCTCAACAGAAAGCATTAATGCTAATATTGGCCAAAGCACAGGTTATCTCATCTGGTAGAGAGAATGGGTCTTAGATGAAAGCCAAGTACTCCTCAATTTGGTTTCTCAAAAGCAGGATGATTTATGGTGTGGCCCTCACTGCCTCTCTGCTTCCAAGTATTTTGGGCTTGTGATACACAGAGGGTTTGTGCTACAGTGTCACTAAGGAAGCTAATTACAAGTTGTGTAATCATATTTTATTCTATCAGAATGCTGTTGGCAAATTACCCATAAGTCTATGTTTGATGAACCACTGTACTCTGTCAGAAGAAGCTGTATTGACTGCTTTTTCCTACTCAGCAATATGTGTTACTTAGGATTTACATTCACATTGTAATTAGCTTTTTCCACCATTGTCTAAATTTGACTGTCAGCTCTAAGCTGTGTGTTTTCTCTCTCTTCTCACCAATAATACTTACCTCCAAATTAAACCACTCAGCTTTCTAGAAAAGGTGGCAGTTATCTTTGTCCATATCTGAGGAAGTTTTTAATTAATTATTTTTTTCTTGATTTGAAATCATAGTTAAGGAACCCTGTTGCTAGATTTTTGTTGTTGTTGTACTTGGTATTAGTGGCTGTGTAACTTGGGTACTTGAAACTTGCAGCTAAATTTTTGTTTTCTTTTGTTCCAATCTACAGTTCTGACCGAAAGGGTAATTAGTATTTAAAAGGCCACAAACTGAGGAGGAACCCCTTTATTTAGATGATCCTGAGGTTGAATTGATTTATGTGTAGTTAATAGAGCTGAATTTAGGTTTGATTGGGTTCATTCACATGCTCATTCACAAATAAAAATTATGGAAGCAGAATTAATATAATTTATGATTTAGTCTTTTTAACTGAGTCTACCATGTTTCACATCTAAGTTCTAGCTGCAAGCATCTGTTTCTATATGATATAGTAGTTATTCACTAATTCATTTACTTAAATTTCTCCTTAAAATATTGACTGTTTGGGTCCTTTTCACCTAGAAATTAAGACAACGAGAAAATCAAGTCAGTTAAATCCATATAATGGCATAAATCTATGTGTGGAAGATTGTTTCACGCTTGTCTCCTTTTAAATCTCATATTCTTTCTTTCCAGGAAAGACACAGATGAAGCAGACCTGGTTCTTGCAAAAGAAGCAAATGTGAAATGTCCGCAAATTGTGATAGCATTTTATGAAGAGAGACTGACGTGGCATGCATATCCTGAGGATGCGGAAAACAAAGAGAAAGAAACAGCAAAGAGCTAAAGGAGGGGGTGGTCTTTGTGATTTCTCTTTGTATATAATACATTCGCCTCCCTGCCTCCTCTCCCTTTTACCCACCCCTTTCTATCCTAAACACATCCATAAAAAATGTGCTTATCACTGTGCTCCACAGGAGAAATGTTGGTATTGGTTCTCTTGTAACATAACTGATGGTCTGATTCATGATAAGTGTCTCTGTGAAGATCAGGCATTTACATACTGTGTAATTCCCACAGTTTTTTCCTTTGCCCTGATCTCTTCCTTCTGCTCCCCTGTGACCTCAAGATGAGTTTTAACTTAGAGTCTTGATCTTTTCAGGGTTGGTCGCTTTTTAGATTGGGGGATTTTGTTACAATGATGTGAATTTTGGTTTCTTGCTTATGTTCTTAGAACATGTTGATGACCAGCTGGCCTTTGTTTTGACATGTTGGGATGGAAAGGATGTTGCCCATCTTTTAAAAAGCCAGTAGCAACTGCCTGCCTGTCAAGGCTTTCCCAAGCTCATTCAGCTCTACCCAGGAGAAAACAGGGTTTCTGGTGTGGTATGCTGGGCCACCCTGTGCTGTTCCTCCTTACATCCTTCCAGAATAATTCCGTCCTTTGGAGGACTTGAAATTTCACACTGAAATTTGTCAAGGCACTCTTTTTAGTCCCAGGACAGTTGGCCTGGTTCTTAGCAATGCCTGCTTAGCAATGCAAGGTGGTGTCAATTTATCCTAAAATGACACGATTGTTAACTGTGGAGATTTTTAGCTGTAGTACATGAGAATGATGGGGTAGGGTAGGATACAGTTGTCTTGATTATCACATATGGTATGTATGTGTTCTTTCTTTCCTCCTCACATTTAGACTGTATATTTATGTAGGTGTGAGTGATTGCCTGGTGCTTGCTTGTGCCAAGGTGCTAGGCACCCTCCAACCCTGCCAACTTTTGTGGCCTCCCAAAGCATTCCTGTTACCAAAGAGGCTTCAAACCTGACCCTCACTTCTCAGTGGACCCAAGTTTCCCTTCCATGCCATTATTTTCAGTGGGGAATTTTTGGAGGTGAGCCGTTGGCCACAGTGTAAATTTTCAGTATGCATAGCAGTTATAGTCATAAGTCTCCTGCTTTCTTGACTCCTAGATTTACCATCAAGAGTCTCCATGGTATTAATGCTCTGCCCTTTTTTCCACCTTCAAACTTTTAGTTGTTATTTCTAAAAATGCATTTTCATCAGAGACTACCACCTCAAAAAGTAACAGGCTCTGGTATTGGCATGTTGACACAACCTTCTCTCCCTACTCAGCAAAATGTTTTCCTTTTGGTTTCTTTGTGCTCTGTCGTTATATTGAGAGGTTTTTCTGATCATTTCCTTCTGTCTTTGTCCCCCAAGAAATGCCCTGCTTCTCTTTATCTTTTTCTTCTTGCAGTTGAGGAGGGCTAGAGAATCAGGACTACAAGTAAGGAAATTGCAGGGTTTTGAGCATCCTTATCCCAGCCCCAAAGCTGAGGAGATAAGAATAAATGCTTGAAATAGCCTTAATTCTAGAATTCACTGGCCATGAGGCTGCTTTTTTTGCTTTTGATTTTTAAAACATAGAGCTGTCTGGCCAGGAGCATTCAACCATTTCTAGATTATTCAGAGCGATGAAGGGAGTGGATAGATTGCTCTAGTCCACAGATGAGCCAAATAATATGCAAATCATATACCCATTCATAGCATTTGTTAACATTGCTTCCCTGCTCAGCTGCTGATTGAATCCTATGTGCTTATAGAAATTATGTCAAAAATTGTACTGCACAATTGAGAAGACAGCTGTTGCTACAGTGACATGACAGACTGGAACAATAAAGCTTTTGGTTTAAGTCAGCTAGGAAAATCCTTCTGAATAGTAATGTGATTGGAGGAGAGCGCCTAACCCATACCTCAAGTGGGTGGGAGCTTTGTTTCCATGTTTTTTTGCTCTCTGAAGGAATTAAAGCCTAAATCAAGAGCTGGGTAATTAACTATTGTTTGTAGTTAATCTGATGAGCATCTAAAAGAAAGGATGGTCAGGAAACAGATTTGTCATATAGGTAGCCAAGGATATCAGTTAGGAGAGACAAGAACGGGACAAAAAATAGGTCAGTGCTCCTAAAGAGGTGATCTGGGTCTCTCGATTTGCACCTGGAGAAAATGACAGCCTCCTAAGTAGCCAGCAGATGCCTCCCAATAACAATGAGCATGCAAACTGCAGTGACCGTATTTCTAAGACCAAAAGTCTAGCACGTGAACGAAGAACACAGTACTTGGTACTGTGATTTGTCCTGAGAGACCTGGGACAAGTGCTTACTGTGGTTATAGGTAATATTTAAAACATTCATCAAAATCTGATTTTTTTTTTTTTTTTTTACCAAAACAACCCCAGTATCATCTACTTACCACACCATTAATACTCTTCACTCCGCCTTTTTCTGTCCAGCTTATTGAATCTCGGTCTTGCACTGCCATAACTTGTGTTCTCTCCCTGCCTGCTACAGGCGGTTCTCAAAGAGTGTGGAGAACCAGAGGCCAGTGCTAATTCAGCCTCTCCTGAAGGAAATGGATGCCTGTCTTCAGCATTGGTCAGTGCTGACTAGCTGTCCTTGCCCCAGGAGAGTTGCAACCTCAAACAGAAATTTGTTCTGTGGAGCTTTCTCCCCTTCAGAGAGTTAATAGCTATGGGCCAAGCACTCTTGAGTGCCTGGGTCTCTGGTGCTCAAAGTGTATTTTCCCTGAGTTTAGTCATTTTTCAAAACAGCTTTCTAATGCTGAGTTGCTTCCCATAATCGGCATTAAATGATTTCCCTTTCTATAGCTTTTAGCAGGGCTTGCCCAGGAGTCTACCAAGGCCAGCTTAGCAGCTCTTCTGAACCCCCAGCTGGGGACGGGGTCAGGGGGTAGATGACCCTCAGGATCAACTGTTGGGAAAGTTGAAAATGGAAGTGCCCCTAAGGAGGACCATATTGTCTTTTTCTCTGTCACATAACAGTTCCGTTTATGTCTGCTCTAGGGGGCATCTGGACCCTTGGTGCTCCTGACACTTGGAGAAGTTGAGATGGCCTTGGCTATCCCCGGTCTACTGCATACTGCTTTTCGTTGTTGATGAAAGGCTGGTCCTCTCCCAGCTGCTCAGGCATTTCTCATTCTTCACTCCTGTTTTGTAGCCACCCTGCAGTCTGTTCTTATGTGTGGGCCAGGGCACAGGGGAGGGTTTGGGGGATGTTCGTCTTGAGGTTTTGTTGGCTCTGTGGTTTAGCCCAGCTTGCCTAAGGTACGGTGAGGGATCAGAGGGGTTTGTGTTTGGGCTGGGGAAGCAGTTGTCTCTACCTTTATGGCTTGAGTTTGAGGGTATAAAATACTACTTTGCAATGGTATGAGAACCCCATTAGGTTTGAAATGAGGAAGCTTTTTCATAAGTTAGGCTAAAGGAAAAGCTCATTTTGCACCCATGACCCCATCCTTTTGGTTGAGATTTTTTTTTTTTTTTGAGGTGGAGTCTCACTCTGTCGCCCAGACTGGAGTGCAATGGCCGCTCCCGGCCACTGCAGCCTCGACCTGCTGGGCTCTGGCGATCCTTCCGCCTCAGCCTTCCAAGTAGCTGGAACTACAGGCGCACACTACCGTGCCCGGCTTATTTTTTGATTTATTGTAGAGATGAGGTCTCGCCAAGTTCCCCAGGCGGGTCTCGAACCCACGGGCTCAGGCAATCCACTCACCTCAGCCTCCCAAAGGCGCGGGATTACAGGCTAAGCCACCGAGCCCGACTTGGTTGAGATTTTTAGAGCAAAAATTAGAGTGTTGAGGGTTGCACCTTTGTAGTCAGACCACCAAGCATGCCTGTGGCAAAGCAAAGAGGAAAGGTCTGGAGCCTGTGTGTTATTTCATGCTGGCTTCACGCTAATCACAAAAATTATGTTTCAAAAATAGAGATGTGACCAGCCTCACACCCAAAAAGCATGTGCTTTGAACTAGGTGCCCTCTTGCCTGCCTGGTGTTAAATTCTCCAAATTCCAACCACATGAGTGTACATCAACTTTGGTTTAATTCAAAAGACATTTTTTGGCCGGGGGATACAAAGTTCAAAAAAAGGCCACCTCTGCCCTCAAAGAACTTTTATACTGGTGTAGGATGAACTGACCGTTAATAGTCTGATGTAATAAATGCTACAAATGTACAGATTTCTGACTTGGGGGCAGAGGCAAACTGGCCCAGATTAGGAGGTGATGCTAATTTTGGTTTATTTGGGAAAGACCTAGGATGAACTAAGCAAACACCATAGGATACAACAAGGGCTTGTTTAATTCCAGTAAGTAAATACAGCTGGGGGTTAGAAATGTTATTTCTGAAAGAGAAAACAGGTAAATTGGGATTGAGAACTCCTGGTTTTGGTCCTTGGTTTAGACTCTCTGCCAAGACACTCTGCCAAAGTTTTCAGTGGTGGTGGTAATCCTTATGAACTATATTAACTATGTTGCACATTCAGTTGTGTGTTACATTATTGTAAGTTCTGTAACATTTATTCTTCATGGACATTTTACCAGAGTTGCTCAAACCTTTTTCAGTTTCTCATCCCTTTTGGAGGAATGAACATGAGGCTGGCTTTAAGCCTAAAGCGGGGACATACTTTGCAACAGCAAGAGATTTGCGAGGGGGGAAAAAAGCTTGGGGCATATCTTTTAATGCCCAAGCATCTACTCTGAGCAGTGTAGCTTTATGCAGTACTGCAAGAGAGTGATTTCTAAGCAGGGAATTTTGTCAATTATGTGGAAACCTCTCCCAGAAATACATATAACTTGTGTGAAATCTGAGTCTCACATTTTTTTGTCTAGGGAGGTCTAGGGTGAAGCCTAGCTGGGTTAAGAAACAGTCTGCTCATAAGAAAGTTCTCAGTTCTGACCAGTGTGACCACAAGAAAAAGATTTTTTTTCTGCCTGGATAATTGGGAATTGTCTAGCTTTGGAAGTCAAAATTCCCAGGAATTAGTGTAACTGTTTTGGAAAGTTACCATGTTTTTAGATAGTTTCATAACAACAATTCTACTTTCTTTTTGCTTGCGCTGAATTTCTTGAATTTTAATCTACCTCATCTTGTCTTTTTAGAGTGACTTCAACTTGTTGCCACTTTTAACATCATGCTTGACTTCGGTTGTTTTCTAAGATGGCATTTTTTCCATTCATTGATAGCTTTGTCCTCTTGCCTTTTCATCCTGATCCTCATTTCACCTAACATCTTGTATGGCTCCTCTGGCAGAGAAATGTTTGGAAACAGTTTCAAGTCTTGTTTTATGGAAAGAAAGCGATCTTAGAGTGCTCTGAGGTCTGTAAGAGAAGGAGTTAAAACAAGGCGCTGGGGGAGGGGACGGATCCTGCACTGGAGGCAAAAGCTGCTGAGGAAAGAGCCATTAATTAAGACAATTTCAAAGTCAACTGATTGTGATCATTAATGTCACAATAGATCAAAACCTAATTATCACAGCCTAGGTAAGAGCCATCAGTATTAATCGGAAAATCTAATAGGAAACTATTATCAAGAAATTAGGCCAAATTGAATGCAATGAACTTTTTATCTCGTCATTCTCTGTTTTTTTGTGATGTCCCCTGGCATTGGCAGATGTGACTCAACAGCTGACCTATGGCCCAGCGACCAGTTTGTCAACCTTTTCTTATGGAATTTTTCTTAGGAATTCCAAACAGACGAAACCTGAACTGTCATTGCTGAAAGATCACTCTTGAACTTTCTCACCACCTGTACTTGTCCAGTGTGATCAGCAATCAGTGCAAGAACATTTATACTTAGGGCTGGGATGGCTCTTGGAACGGGAGCATCCCTGGTGAACACGTTACTGCGTGTATTTACTAGTCATCTTGGGTTTCTGCTGCACGTAGGGTCCTGCTGCACTGGCTGCCATGAGAGGGGAAGGGAGAAAGGCGAGGTGCTCTGCCTAGAAATTTTTGGAAAACACCTGAGAACATATTGATCAGGTCACAGCACTCCTTGTTTTTTTTTGTTTTTTTTTTTGTTTTTTTGAGTTGGGGTCTCACTCTGTCGCCCAGACTGGAGTGCAGTGACAAGCTCCCAGCCACTGCAGTCTTGACCTGCTGGGCTCCTGCGATCCTTCCGCCTTAGCCTTCCAAGTAGCTGGAACTACAGGCGTGTGCTATCATGCCCGGCTAATTTTT